GGTATGTCTCTCGTAACACTCACAACCCCGATCCACACCGCACAGATGCCACTAGCACCCCAAGGACCACCCTGTGCTTCACCTAGCATACAGCAACGCAGCTTGGCTATGGCTGCGTGCTCCCTCCTACTCGCCCGTGAGAGCGTGAGTGCCAGCCAGCCAGCGGATTGCGCAGCAGTGCTCACGTAGCATGCAGCCAACACCGGAATGCCGAATCAGGAGGCAGGCCCTTCTCTATATCGAAGTGGCCTGCCTGCGTCCAGTCTAGGAAGCTTCCAGTAGGCCCCCGGTAGCCTGAGGCCCAGTCACGAAGAACGCAGGCCTTGGGCCTGAAGTGGTTGCATGTGCCCAACTTCTTTCGGCCTGTGCTTGGCCCGGTACCCGTATCCAGCCCAGGGCCTGCTTTACATTCATTCACACAGGCGGCCTAGGGCCTGAGTTTATTCAACGAACTGGCGCTGCGCAACTGCCTGAATTTCCCCAGATGCGGGGTACCTTGAAAAACGAGGCCCTGAGGGCCTGTCGTGCCTGCCTTCACTTAGGGCGGCCGTAAGGGCCCGTAGGGGCTAAGCGGGTGTTGCCTCGCATTCCCTCCTCCATATCTTCGTTAGTCCTCTGAGAAGATCAATCTGCCGCCATCTGGCGCTTTCCTTTCAATACATCCCTCTCATAGCGGGCAACGATTTGAGGAGCGGTCTGCATCAATTCCTCCCTAGTAAACCAGCGGTCCTCCTTCAGATCTGTATGATGTCTGAAGTGGACACGGAACTGTAGCTTTGGCTTTGGAGGACGTCCCCGTCCTGGAGGCTTCTGAACAGGCATCTCCCTGTGGTCGACGATATCATCGATGTCGACTTCTTTGTCCATGGTTGGGGGCAGCATTGACCGACGAGAGGGAAACTGATCAGTTTCCTCGAACGCGGCGAGCTTAGAGGCGTGAAAGACAGGGTGAGTTCTGAGATGACCAGAGATACGGATGACATATGATGGACCATCAGGACCTGTCCCTTCTACGTCTAGAACCTCCCAAAGCCCAAAGTACTGAGGCATGAGTTTGCGGGATATTTCGAACTCCTGTCCCAGTTCTGAAGACTTGACCTAGACTCTGTCCCCAACCTGAAATGCAGAAGGCCGGCGATGTCTATTCTCAGACTCTATCATTGCTGCCTGCGCCTTTTGCATGTGTTGTACAGCCTCCTGCATCTTCTGTTCATATCTATAGGCGAACTCCAAAGTGCCCGGTATAGCAGTTGGCTGGTTGTCTGGAAGTAGGAAGTCTAAAGGGCATTTAGGCTTGAATGTCAGTTGTAGACTGTTAGGACTCGTTCCGGTAGCACTGGGTACAACGTTGTTATATAGACTGGCGACTAGAGCAAGCTTTTCGTCCCAGTCTACCTGATTGGGCTTGATGTAGTGCCTCAACAGGTGCACAGTGCGGTTCATTTGTTCAGCCTGACCATTAACTTCTGGATGATTTCCAGAAGTCATCTGCAGTTGAGTTCCTTGTTCAGCTGCAGCGGCCTTCCACAATTCACTTGTAAACCTGACGTCCCTGTCACTGACAATTGACTTCGGCAGTCCAAAGTCTTTGACCCAGTTCTCTTTAAATAACCTGATCACGTACTCGGTCTTTGCTGTTTCTGGCATAGCTATTAATCTAGAAAACTTACCAAACCTATCCACGATGACAAAGATCTGTCTCATCCCACTCTTGCTGGTGACCAGCGTATCCATGAAGTCCATGGACAAACTTTCACCCGGCCTTTCCGGAATCGGAAGGGGCTTGAGCCCAAGAGGAGCCTGAGTACGGGGCTTGTCTCTTTGGCATACTTGACGAGTTTCCACGTACAGCTGTGCATCTTTCATCATCGTGGGCCACCAAAACCGCTGCAGCAAGTTGGCTGCGGTCTTTTTGTATCCAAAGTGGTCGGTGGCATCATGACACTCACCTAAAAACAAACTACGCAAAGACTCGCTATTTGGAACACACAAGCGTTTATTCCCTGCCTTCTCTAGGAACAACAATCCATTGACCAACTCAAACTCAGCGGAGGTCTTCTTATCCTTCGCCTCTAGTCTGCGTATGATCTCAGACATAAACTGGTCCTGACGATAGGCTTCCACCAAAGACTGAGTAACATCGTCTGTCAGATCGAACTCAGTAATCAGCGCACCTGAGAGAAGTCCGGTCTGCGCGATAAGGCATCAGCAACCTTGTTGTATTCCCCTTTGAGATACTGAGGGTCAAAGTCATATTGCTCAATGACTTCGATCCATCGCTTGAGACCATCTGAGAGTACCGGTTGTGTTCTCATCCATCTCAGGGTCTGATGATCAGTCCGGAGGATGAAGAACCGTCCAAGGAGATAGTGTCTCCAATGGGTGAGAGCCTTGTACACCGCATAGAGTTCCTTCTCATAAGTAGACTTAGCCAACTTCTGAGTTGGCATTTTCTTGGACATGTACTCAACTGGCCTCAACTTTGGCCCCTCCTGCTGCGCAAGCACGGCGCCAATGCCATATTGGCTAGCATCCGTGGTTACTATAAATGGCTTATCAGGATCGGGTAGCTTCAAGACTTCATAGTGCGTCAATGCATGCTTTAGATGTCTGAAAGCAGCCTCGCACTCATCTGTCCACTCCCACGGGGTGTCAAGGCGGGTCAGATCAGTCAAAGGAGCGGCCACAATGCTATAGTTCTTTACAAAAGTCCGGTAGTAGCCTGTCATTCCTAAGAAAGATCTCATCTTAGTCACCGACTGAGGTTGTGGCCAATCACGAATGCTGACCACCTTCGCGTCATCGGGCTTCAACCCTTCCGCGGAGATCTCATGACCCAAGTACAAGATACGGGTGCGGCCAAACTCGCACTTTTCACCGTTGATCTTGAACTTGTGCTGTCGCAGGAGACTGAGAACTTTGTCTAAGTGTGCTACGTGCTCCTCGACAGTCTTACTAAAAATAAGTATGTCATCGGGGTACACGATGACAAACTTATCCAAGTAGTCATGGAATATCCGATTCATAATGTGCTGAAAGGTGCCAGGAGCATTGCAAAGGCCAAAAGGCATCACCACAAACTCGTACAGACCGTACCTGGTATGAAAAGCGGTTTTGTGTTGATCCTCGGGCCGTATGGCAATCTGATGGTACCCGGACTTCAGATCTATCTTGCTGAAGTACGACACCCTTGCACTCTATCTAGCAGATCGTCGATGCGCGGTAGGGGCTCTTTGTTCTTGACAGTGATGGCATTGAGGCCCCTATAGTCAATGCACATCCTAAGGGTTCCCTCCTTCTTCTTAGGCACGAATAAAATTGGAGACCCATAAGGAGAGACACTCGGCCGGATCCAGCCCTTCTCTACGAGTTCCTTGAGTTGGCGGCGAAGCTCATCAAGCTYGCCTGGAGACATCCGATAGATCCTACCCCTTGGAATACTAGACCCTGGGATAATCTCTATCGCGTGGACGACCTCCCTCTCAACAACCCCTGTCGGCTCTTCAAATAGATCAGGGTACTTAGCAAYTACTCCCTCTATCTCTGGCGGCATTTTCACCGGCTCGCCTGCAGCAGAGACATAGACTAAGTACATACCCTCCTCCTGATTTTGCTTATAATAATTATAGAACGCGGCCGCACACATGCATCCATAGGACTCAATCAGACTACTAGCTTTGAACTTATGTAATATGGCGGTGCCTCCACCTGGCAACGTGTGTTTGACCACTTTTCGGTCCCAGTCAAACTGGGGCTGTGCTATAGAGAGGTAGTACATACCTAGTAACATGTCCATTGGGAGCTCGTCACTCACCAGGAACGAGACACGATGTCTCAAGTCCCCTCCCGCGTACGGGAAAACACACTCTACATCATGGAGGTAGTCATTATCTACCATGCGCTGTTTGTTGGCACAAGTCGACTCCACAGGTCGGCTCAGGCGCTGCACTTGCCCCTGTAAGCGCAGCCTCTCAACGCACGCGCGGCTAATAAAGTTCCTAGTCGAGCAAGTGTCGTAATAGGCCCCGGCCTTGCGGCCTCCTATGACTACCTCGCTGACAAACATTTCACTCTTAGGGGTTTAACTAATGCCGTCCAAGAAGCTAGTGGATCTGATCTAGACCACTCATGCTCTAGCTCCTCTAAGGATTCAAACACATTCATCGAACAGAGGGTCGATGGGTCAGAATGTGTTTGCGGGACGACTGAAGAGTCTGTAGCTTGGGCCATCTCTCGCGAAGGTGAGGGTGAATCCACTATCGCGACCCTAGTAGGAACAACTACTATCCCTACTGGCCCGACGTGTTTCCCAGAGCACTGCCTGAAGAACTAGCAATATTGCTACCAACGGGTTGAGAGGATCCTACTGCCGACCCCATAGTGGGCGGGATCTTCTCGGTGACCTTCCTATTGCAACACTTGTACATGCTATGACCATATTGGCCACACTTGATACAAGCTTGCCGTGCCCACCGATCTCTCCACACGTCCTCAGATAGACCCGCTTTCTCCCATGGAGGAGCATTGGGGTCTGTTTGACTCTTCGACCGGGATCCCCTAGGGCGTCTACCGGTCCCTTTACCTTTTTGCTGGGTTACAGCGGCGACTAATCCACCCTCTGAAGTATCGCCACCTGCCTCTGCACCTACTCCCTCCTGGAGGTTGCCGTCCAACTCGATGGTTGAACCATCATTGTCGGCAAACATTAAGCGACCCTTCGCCTTCTAGTTGGGAGGCAGTGTCTTCTTTTTCCCTTCCGTAGTGGGTGTCTGTCCATGCCCTATCTTTGCTACAAGGTCTAGGGCTACCTTGCTGAACGAAGGAAAGTTGTGCACATTGATGTTGGCCTCTTTTGCCAACTGGTTCCTGAGAGGCTGAGATAAGCATCTCAAGTACGAAGTTAACAGGACCTCGGGGTCATAGCGTACCCCTGGAACACAAATCAAACGCTCTACAGCGTCGGTCGCATCCCTTACTGACTTAAACTGCCGGGTGTGCAGTGTTAGGATCGCATCAGTGGCCTTTTGAGCCTCCTGAGGATCATGACACCTTTCTTCCACCATTCTTAGGAAGTCTTCCAATTTCTGAGAGGCTGCCCAAGAGCGGAAGTCATGACCGTACCCTTGGAGTTACACTAACCCACTCAACCATCTCGCTGCACTACCCTCCAGGTAGGAAGCAGCCACAAGCACTTTCTCGTGTGGCAAGGTGAGTTTACACCTGACGTAGACCAGCCCGGCCCTCAACCATGTGTCGAGGTCCTCGCCTCTCTTATCCCTTGTAAAAGGTTTGGGAGCGGCGATGGCCGTCTTTGGAACCCACTGTGTCTATCCCGGTTGCTGCATCATTCCAGGCTGTGGACCCGGTGAAACAGGTTGCTGTGCTAGCTGCTGAGGCTGTGTGCCCTGATGCTGCACTGGCTGCGAGACAGCAGGCTGCGTGGTGATTGCAACCTGTGACGGACTTGGAGTAAATACTGTCTGAACAGGAACCTGCAAACTACTCCCTGCTGTTACCCCTCCTGACAGAGGCATGCCTAGGGAAACGATAGCAACCGTTGAAGGGGCTACATATGGGGATACCCCAGTCACCGGTGGAACAGAAAGAGGAGGATATGGCACAGGCCAGGCACCAGGCCCTGCTGGTGATGGTGCTGCCTGAGCACGGCCTGCCAACTCGGCTAGGCTTTGTTGAATGTCCTGAAGGATGGTAGTTTGATGCTCCTGCATCTCAATTACGCCTAGCAGGGCCCTCCTAACTACCTTCACATCATCATCCATATGCGTCAGGTCCATCGTCTCTAACTCCTCTATGTCTGCCCCTCTCTGTTGCATCCTGACTCTTCTTCTAATCATCATCTCTTTCTCCCTTTTTATCTTTCCTAATGCCTGCTGTAGCTGTGCCTCTTGCAGGGCTGCCTGCTGGATGGCGACATCCTCAGGGGACAACACCGCGGGCTGGCTTGCCATTAAGYCAGTGGACTGACTCACGGTCTGCACGACCGTGGACCSGGYGGTACYTGAACTWCCGGCTTGGGAARTCYGCTGCGCAGACGTGCTCATGGCTGTGGTAGCCATGGCTGCTATAGCACTGGCCTCGCTAGCAAATGCCCTGCTGGCCTCGGCTGCTCTAGCTCTCCTCTCCCTTTGTCGGCRGAACAGTTCCCTATCACCCTCCGRTCCTAAAGACACRTGGGATACYGGTCCTCTAGCCGATCGTAAGGTCCTGCGGTYGTCCTCTCCGGTGTSCTCCACRTCGCTCATAGGCTACARCACTGTGCACTGTCCRCACTAGATCATTYTAGATGCCTACCGCAGCATAGTACACAGACCAACTAATTAGTGGTGGCTATCAGAACAGATCTCATTTGGGGTCAACAGGTAAGTGAGGTTCCTATTGTCAATACTATTTTTAGTRAGATTAGTTCCCAAACAGAGAGAGCATCAGGARTAAATAATATTCTAAACTAATGYTGTCTGTCAGATGTCACATGGCTGTCCATCTAACTAATCAATAATAWAAGTAATGTTGACTGACCGGGTCTGTTCATAGCATGGAATTAAAACCCGAACTTATCACCTGGAACCTACCCCTCCCTTTGTTCTTCTCAAAGTCAYGGTGTCACGTTTCTTCGCATCAGAAGCCAAGCGTGTCTCAWAGGTGTGCAATCCGGTCCCACCYCTGTGCCCCGGGTTATCGTCGAGCAAGGCAGCCACAACACTCTTATTTACCCTCGTACGCCGACGAGCCTTCCACTCGGATGATCTGGCTGATCAAGAGGCAATTTAACGTCCGCCCCCAAGTGACATCAGGAATTATTTTACGTCGCAGCAGGACGACAAGCACAGCCAGATCAGAGCCGAGTCCCCAGCAAGAAATGTTTATAGACGGTCTGGTAAGCGTCTGTAGAGGCTGCCACACTCGAGTTAACCCCTATCGTGCGCAAGCAGCAGAACCAAAGACTTGTAGCGAAGCATGCGTGTACTACACCCAGTGGGTTGGCATGGTGACCGTGACCCAGTGCTTCGTCCAGGGCCCTTCAAGAAGCTTCGCCCGTCTTCCCCCAGATGCTCCACGTGAACAATCACGAYTCTCAAGGTTGAGCGCACACGACACCTCACGATGAGAGGACTCTCAAGACAGAACTCACAACCTCACGGTAAGAAGTGATGAAGAGGGTAGGTAAGGTTAAGAGCAACGTACCTCGTTCATGCTGCCCCCAACCACATAGATAATCTCACCAGATGACCTGAAGATGATTGCGATGGCCAGTCACAGCATCGGCACAACCAACATTTCGCCGTTCCACCTCAGCCTCAATCACCCAACAGATAGTTCTCATCACATTGCGAACACCCAATATTTACACCTTAGCCTTCCAGGCGATGCCCCTCACCACCTGGGTCGCCTTCACACTCGTCTCCACCCTCCTCACTACACACCACTTACGGCCAAACTCTCCCAGCAGACCGCATGTATGTACCGTATAAGGCAGAAGACAAGCGCCAGATGAGCGCAATCGTACCRCARMTCTGATACCAAATTGCAAGGAAGATGAGCATTAGCGAACTTCATCAATCAAACAGCATCATACATATGAGCCCAGATAGTCTTGACCTCGAACCACAGCAGGCTTGCATCACGAGTTACACCAACTAAGAACACACCAAGAGTTCAAAATTGACAATGCTGAAGTAGTCCCATCATCATCAACTACGAACCAGAGTTGATATCCTATTGGCGCTCGGCGCCCAGACTACA